TCCCACCCTGTAATGGAGCGTATTCTGACTGTTTCATTCCACTTCTGATCTATGCCTCTCTGTCCCTGGCCACCCTTTTATCAGCTGCTCCATTATATCTTCATTGTGGCCAAAAGGGGAGTCTTGGAGCCTTCTGGCTGCCAATGAGAGGAATGTGGTCCAACTGAACCCTCACTGGGGCAGTGCCAAGGGGGTGGGGACTGGCGAACTACTCAGAGCGCCAGCCCTGTGCTGGGTCTGGAGCCACAGAGCTGGAGCAGATGTCACTCCATTTGGTAGGCCAACGGGAAATGACTTCACTTCAGAGGTCACATAACTGACTGCTGGGGGCCAGGAGGGATGAGTGAGGCCTCCCAGCAAGAGATGGCAGTGGGAGGGAGAAAAGGGAGCTGAGTGGGACGTCTGAGGAGGGGAATTGGCAGGACTTGGTGGTCGATGACAGGAGAGAGGCTGAGGGGCTCAGCCACAGTTAGTGAGAGCAACTTTAAAGAACACACTGCTCTTCAGGTCTCTGAAAGCAGAGAGGGACAGAGCAGGGACTAAGGGAGCCACCATTGTGAGTAATAAACTAGAGTTTACCACTCATTTTATGGGTAAGGAAAATGTGGCTTAGGGAGGGGGAAGTGACTTACACAGGGTCACACAGCCACTACCTCACCTATGCTATTTCCACTGCCCCTTGTCCAACTTCCCTTGCCCAGACTGGGCACAGGACCCTGGGTCTGCAGCTGCTGTGTTGGTTAAATCCCAGGACCTCTGGGAAATCCCCTCTCCTCAGCCCAAATGGAAAGCCTCAGGGTCAGAAAAGTTTGTCTCAGCCAGCCTGGAACCAGCTAGGGGCTTTCCTCTGAAAGAGCCACGCCTCTGGGCCAGCCCGGTATCCACAAGATGCCGTTTCCCTGGGGACAGGACCAGTTCAACCACTGAGGACTAGTGACCTTCGGTTCCAAACAGACCAAGCCAGCACACAGGGCTCTTTCCCTCCACGCCACCCTCTCCTGACACTTTATTATGAAAATTTTCACACAGACAGCAAAGTTGAAAGATTTAACATTGAACACCCACATACTTACCACCTAGACTCTACCGTTAACATTTTACTGTACTTGTGTGATCACAAAGTACCCATCCCTCAATCCATCTTATTTTTTTAATGTATTTCAAAGTGAAGTGCAGACATCAGTACATTTCCTGCTAAATATTTCAGCATGTATATCATTAACCAGAACTCAATACTTATTTATATTTTTCTTATGTGAAATTTACATGCAATGAAAAACACAAATCTTACATGTACATTTCCCAAAGCCGCCTTTCACTCAGCAAAACCTTTTGGAGGTTCATCCATGTTGTTGCATATAATAAGAGTGCATTGCTTTTTTAAAAACTTTTAAATTTTGGAATAATTTTAGATAGTACAGAGTTCCCATATGCCCCACACCCAGTTTCCTGCATTGTTAACATCTTATATTACCTTGGTACCATTTGTCAAAACCAAGAAACTGACCCTGACACATTACTATTAAATAAACTCCAGACTTGATGTGGATTTCACCAGTTTTCCCTGTAATGTCTTCTTTCTCTTTCAGGATCCAGTCCAGGGCACCACATTCCATTTAGTTGTCATGTCTCCCCTGTGTCCTCTGCTTGCTTTCTCAGTCTTTCTAATTTCTCATGGCCTGGAGAGTCTGGAGGAGCCCTGTCCAGGTGTCCTGTAGAGTGTCCCCATTTTGGGTTTGTCTAATGTTTTTCTCATCATGAGACCGGGTTTTGGGTTTTTGGAACGCTCAGGAAGTACATGCTAGTTAGCCACATGAGTTCATGCTAATGTTACCCTTCATCCTCTGGTTAAGAGAGTGTTTGCCGGGCTTCTCCAGTGTAGAGCTATGATTTTCTCTTTCTCTGCTTGGTTCTTTGGAAGTGAGTCCCTTAAGTCGAGCCCAGGGTGGGCGGGAGGTAGGGAGCAGGCAAGAATTAAGCTCCACCTCCTGGAGGGGATTATCTACATATATTATTTGGAATTCTTCTGTAAGGATTCCAAAAGAAATTCTCCCCCATTTATTTATTCAATCATTTATTGGCTGATTGTTTTTAATTGGATTTTTTAATAAATGTAATACATGTACATAATTTACAAAGTTAAGGCTTATAAAGAAAAAGAATATCTCCCTAAAGTCTTAGAGTTGTTGTTCTAGTACTTCTAAATAACATGCCTAATCTACTATTTGTATTTTTTTCCATTTTATATTAGATTGAACCATATGAAATTGTCAATACTCAACCATTTTTGATCTACAAAAATGGCAATTTCATATGGTTCAACCTAATACCTAGTATTTTGACTTTCTACTACTTGTCCAGCTGATTGTGTGTTACATGGGAGTTGGCTCATTTTATTTTGTTGTGAATTGTGACTTTGCACCTGCCCCTCATCTGACCGGGCTCGGAGATGAGCCCCCACCCGCTCAGCCATGGCTCCAGGCTCCCACTCCCCAGACTGGGCATCTTTGGCGTGGGTGAGAAAGGGGCTGCAGGCTTTGCTGTGATAGCCGCCTCCCACGGGCAGCTGTGGGGCAATGCCTCAGGGGCTCCCTGGTCTCGGTCTGCTCTACTGATACTGTCAGTGGCCGAGTTCTGTGCCCTTTGGCAGACTGGGCCCCCTGTGCATGGCCTTGCAAGGTCATGGCCACTAGTCCAGTTCTCCCAATATAGCCTTAGTCCACGTGCTGAACTCCTTGAACCTCAATTTCCTCATCTGTAAGATGGGGATCATCAAGCCTTCCAGATGGACTCTTGTGGTGTCCTTGTCAAGGGGCCATCACTGGTGTTGGTCCTGAGCTCCTCCTCCAGGCCACTCTGTGCTCTCCTTCCCAGCCCAAATGGAAAACCTCAGGGTCAGAAGAGGTTGTCTCAGCCAGCCTGAAACCAGCTAGGGGCTTCCCTCTGAAAGAGGGAAGACTGTGTGAGAGAGACTGCCCAGGACAGGGTTCTGGGAGTCGAGATCCCAGGCTCAGCTCAACCTCTGGTCTGCTCCAAGACCCTAGCCAGGTGCTCCCCCTGCTCTGGGCTTCTGTCTCCCCATCTGTGCCGAGAGGTGTTGGTGATGACAGTCGGAGAGGCCTTTAAGTGCCTGAGAGCTGGTGGTGTCTGCAGTGGTGAGCCCCTCTCTCCTCATCCTTCAGTGGGGCTGGGCCATACCCTTCCTGCTCCAGGCACTGGATGGAGGTCTTGGGAGCTTGGGATGAATGGGAGTGTAAGACTGCAGGTCCATCATGTGGGGGACCTTGGCAAATCCCTGCTGCCCTCTGGAACTCAGTGAGAGGGAAGGTGGGCTGGGCTGCTAGGGTCCTTTGGATTCTGTGGCCCAGATGGGAAAAACAGACTGAGCTGGGCATAGATACCATGGTGGCAGAACCACTCAGGGATCCTGTCCAGTCCAGGGGAGAAGCCACAGTCATCAGGCAGTCACACAGATGAATGTAAAACTGCAATTTGGATGAGTTTGTGCTACCAAATAGAGGTTAATGGGGCCAAGACCCAATCTGAGGGGTAAGAGAGGGCTTCTCTCAGGAAATGATCCTTTCTGAGACCTGAATGGCAAGCAAATGTTGACTAAATGAAAGGGGAGAGACTATCCCAGGCAGAGGAAACAGCAAAGATCCTGCAGCGGGAGGGAAAAGGCCAGTGTGGCTAGAGCCCAGTGAGGTGGAGTAGGGGAGAGGGTGGTGCACGTCCATGGGCAGGGACCAGGTGCAAGGCCTGGGAGTCTCAGGGAGGGATCTTCACCCTAAGAGCCGTAGGAAGCCTTTAGAGGACTTTAAACAGGGAAGTAACAGGACCAGATTTGTTTGAAAAGCTCTCCAGCTGCTAGGGAAAACACTGGGGTGGGGGGTGAGAGCAGGGAGCCCAGAGAAGAGACTGCTGTTGTTCAGATGACAGTAGCTTTGTCCATGGTGGTAGCTGTGGGGATGGATAGAAATGAGTGGAGTTGAGAGTTTAGGAGGTAGAACTGACAGGACGTGGTGGCTTTGTGTATGGAAGAAGTGTCAGTTGATTCTGTGGCCTGAACACCTGGACAGAAAATGGGGCATAGGTTTCCAGTGGGAGAAGCAGGTTTGACAAGGGGCTTGGTTGGGGTGGAGGGGCACCAGTTTGGAGTTCAGAGGGCAGGACTTGGGTTGGAGGTGTAGACCATGGTAGGGGAGGGAGGGCAGTACAAGTGCTAGTGAGTCCTTGCAGGGTCAAGTGTGGCTCTGAGGTGCGGGTCCCTGGGCAGGCTCTCCCCAACACCTGCCTTGCCCCTCAGGGACCCAGGGTTTAGGCAGAGGTACCTCAAAGCTTCTCATACCCTCTCTCTCTGCCCAGATCCTGCTCATCTCCGATTACTTCTACGCCTTCCTGCGGCGGGAGTACTACCTCACACATGGTCTCTACTTGACAGCCAAGGACGGCACGGAGGCCATGCTTGTGCTCAAGTAGGCCTGGCTGGGCACAGGGCTGCACAGACTTCAGGGGGTGAAAGGCCCGAAGCTGGGCCAAGCCCTCCAGCCAGAGCTGCCATCAGGCGAGTCCTCGGGCAGATGAGCTTCTTCAAGTCCAGGGTCATGAATCTCCGGCACCAGAGGGGAGCCAAGGCTGGCATCAAGGCCTGTGGGGAGTAGCCAGGAGCACTTCCACTTGGACCCCCTCTTTGTGACTCTGCACACCAAGGAGCCCCCTCCCAGGCAGGAAAGGGGAAGAAGCAGGTGAGCAGGGTTTGTTAGCTTGTGGCTACTTAATAAATGTTTTTTGTTATGAAGAAGTCTACTCTGGGACCACACTGTACTCTGGAAGGGTAGACTTGGCCCCTAATATGGCTGTGGTACACCACACACTGGTGTCAGTTTCCAGAAGGAGCCCTGAGTCCACAAAACTCAAGTCTGTGTACTGGCGAGCTAAGAATGATGTGGGACAGCCCCATCAGCAGCCCTCCCCAGTCCCCACGCAACCAGAGGCAAAGGGCCAGGCAGGCCTGAGCAATCTTTATTCTGCAGAGGGACAATAACCACAGATCCATACACCATGTCAAGACGGGTGAGCCAGGGGCCAGTCCTTCAGGGGTGGGCGGGTCCAGGCAGGGGGTAGTGCCTCAGGTTGGGGAGGGACAGATGGGCAGACAGGCAGGGGCCTAAAAAAAAGACAAACCACACAGCAGGGGTGCTGGGGGTTGCTCCCCACCCTCCCCCATCCCAGCCAGCACCCAGAGGAGCAATCCTAACATGACTAGCCCAGGATCCACCCAGGGGCAGAGTAGGCATGGTTGGTGCCCCTGGCTAGGAGGCGCATCCCTGCCCAGCCCAGCAGGGGCAGAGGCAGCTCGCTTCAGGAGCCAGGTGCTACCTGGGCAGAGCCTGACAGGGCCCCCCACTCCCAGGCCAACCCCCCCTACTGCGAGCTCAGAAGCCGAAGGTTTCCTGGGAGGCGTAGACCATGTAGAGGAAGCCGTCATCATCCTTCTCCTGCTCATAGATGTCGGCGATGGGTGTGGACACGCTCACCATGCTGTGCTGGTTCACCAGCAGGAAGAAGGCCTGCGTGGGGTTCAGCTGCAGGCGACGCCTGAGGTGGGCAGGAGGGCATGCCGACTGTGAGCGGCCTGGCTGCTAGGCCGGTGTAGCCCTGACCCGCCTCGCCATCCCAGCCCCTTCTAGAGGCTCTTACCTGACGCTGACCCCAGCCCTGACCTTGACCTTTCCCAACCTTCTCAGAAGGACCCAGCCCCCTGCCCGACCCCAGCAGGACCCAAGTTCCCCTCTGACAGCTGCTGCCCGCGCACCGGATGATCTTGACCAACTCGCTCATGTTGACATGGTCCGGGACCAGGAACTTGGTCTTGTCCAGAACGGGCAGCTGTTTCTCACCCTTGTAGCGCTCGATGATCACCTGGGAGCAGGGTGGGGTGGGACGCGTCAGCCTGAGGTGGGGCACGGGGCCTGGGGCTGAGCAGGGATGGGAGGGGGCGGTGGGACTCACCGGGATCTTGCTGGGGTGCTGGTCGCGGATCTGCTGCACCTCCTTACAGCGGTCGGCTGCGGACAGCGGTCGTGCGGTGAGGCCCCGCCCCGCCTCCCCACAGCCCCCGCCCCCCGGGCAGTCGGCCCCCCAGCCCCGGCACAGAACCAGGTTGGGAGGCGGAGGCCTGGGCCCAGGCCTGACCCTGCCTCCCAGCCCAGGGGGCGGCCGGAGCCTGACGTCATGGGGCTGACGTCACCTACAGCAGTCGGGTCGGTCGCCCTCCCCCACCACCCCAGCGCCCCCACCCCGCGCTCGCACATCGCCCTCCGGGCCTCACCGAAGCTCCGCCGTTGCTTGAAAGGCCGGTCGGAGGGCATCGCGCCGGCCCGGCGGGGCGCGCAGGCCGGGGCTCCGGGGCGCGCGGCTCGGGGATGTGGCTGCGGTTCGGGGGCTCCGGGGGCTCCGCGCCTCGCACTCAAGGGCTCTGGGCTCGCGCTGAGCCCGGCGGCGGCGGCGGCTCGGGGAGGTAACTAGCCCGGGTGACGTCAGGTCACAACATTCCTTAAAGGGGAGGCCGGCGCGCCGCTCCTATTGGGCCGACGCAAAACCCGCCCGCCCGGACCGTGATGTCAGGGCGCAGAGCCTGGATTCCCGACCCCGCGCCGCGGAGGGGCGGGGGCTTTCAGGCGTCACAGTCCCTTGACGTCATGGCCTGCGCGTCCCTTCTACCCAGGCCGGGACTGAGCGGAGGCTGGAAAGCCGGCGAGCCGTTGGGCGAGCGGGCTCCCAGCTCCAGCGGTGGGGAGAGTCCACCCAGCTTGCGGCTCAGCATCCTTCTGTTCCCGCTGTCACTAAATTCATCTGACAGCGCGCGCTCTGAGTCTGTTCCAGGGACGGTAGGAGGCACTGGGGATGACAGCAGTGAACCAAAAGTCCTCCTCGCCTTCGTGGAGCTTATGTTAGAGAAGGAAGAAGGTAGGGTAGCGGGGATTAAAACGTGAAAGAGCAAGGCACTAAAAAGGAACACAGGTTTTAGAAGGGAATTTCTAGAATTGAAAAATAGAGCTATTGAAATTAAAGTCTCAAAGGATAAGGCAAGAAAGCAGATTAGACCCAGCAGAAGAGAAAATCACTGAGCTGGAGGATAGATTAGAAGCAATTAACCAGAGTGACAAGGTGGTGAAACGTATAAAAGAGGGAGTGACAGGAATGGTAAAGTGAAAAGAACTCACAGGGCCAATCAGAGTTCCAGAAGGAGAGAAGAGACTGTGGGAGAGGCAGTTCCTGAGGAGCTTCTAAATTGATTAAAGACGAGGATTCTCATAAAATCCAGAGCAGGATAAATAAAAATAAAATCGGTATCTAGGCACTTTGTAGTAAAGTTACAGAACTCCAAAAAGAAGAAATTAGATGGAAAAATGGTGAGCAACTAAACTGATAAACGTAAAAGGAGATCTAAACAGGCACTTCATTGGAACGTGAAGAGTGATGATTTGTGGAGTCCAAAACCAGGCCCCTGGAAGACAGTAACAGTAAGACTGGAGAGGGGAGTCAGTTCTAAGCAGCTTGGTTTACTTGAGGGGAGGATAAAGATATTGATAATTGTTGGCCTTTGTAAAGTCAAGTATGTATTTCAAAGACTTAAGAGGGATCATTAAAAGATTACAAATAGAAAGTATAACTGCCAGTGCAAGAAAGAGAAAAGGTTAGTAAAGGATATTAGAATAGAAGGCAGGAAAGGAGAAAAAGGAAGCAAAGTAAGAAGTAGATAAATGGTACAAAACCAGAGGGAGAAAATGTGCTTTACGTTCACCTATTAAAACAAATGATCAGATTGGCCAAGAAAAATAAAATGCACCTCTATGCTGTTTACAAGAGGGCATTTTAAAACCAAAGGGCACCAAAAGTAAAAAGAAAGAAAAAGATATACTAGGGAAAAACTAACCAAAAGATATATCTATAGCAAAATCAGACAAAATAGGCTTTAGGGCAGAAGACACTATTAGGGGTAAAGGAAGCTATAACTTCTATATTAGAGGCTAAAAAAAAAAAAAAAAGGCTGAAAATGTATAAAGCAGAAGTGACAAGGGTACAAGGAGAAATGCCTAAATATTTCATCATAGTGGGAGATTTAAGACCTCTTTCAGTACCTTATAGACCAAACACCCCCAAAAAAGGATATAGATGATTTTAATCCTGTTAATAATCCTGATCAATGGACCCTGATAGAACCCTGAACCTAATATCATTACTTTCAGGTACACAAGAAACATTTACAAAATGACCTTCTAGACCCCAAGTCAAATCTCAACAGATGTCAAATAGTCAATTTCATCCAGACCATATTCTCTGACCACAGACAAGAGCCAAGTAAACTCCAAATGTTTGAACATTTAAACATACTTGTAAAAAACATTTTACTCAAAGATGAAATCATATGGAAATGAAGACTATTTAGATCAAACTGAAAATGAGAATACACATAAAAACTCAGGGAGGGGGGCAACTAAAGCAGCATTTAGAAGATTTATAGCCTTGGGGCTGGTCCCGTGGCCGAGTGGTTAAATTCACGTGTTCCGCTTCAGTGGCCCAGTGTTTTACCAGTTCGGATCCTGGGCGTGGACATGGCACCGCTCATCCAGCCATGCTGAGGCTGCGCCCCACATGCCACAACTAGAAGGACCCACAACTAAAAATATATGCAACTATGTACCAGAGGGCTTTGGGGAGAAAAAGGAAAAATAAAATCTTAAAAAAAAAAAAGATTTACAGCCTTTTTAGTTAAGTAAGAAGAAACATGGAAAATTTGAATGTCAAAAGAATTTTTAAAATAACTGTAAACCCAAAGAAAGCGGAAGGAAGAGAATAATGAAGAGTAGATATTGATGACAGAAAAAAACACTAGTATGGACCATAAAACAAAGTTGGATCTTTGAAAAGACCAATAAAATAAACGTTAGTGTACAAAAGAGACATAATTACAGATGTAGAAATGACAAAAATAAGATTATAAACTTTATGCCACTGAATTTAAAACTTAGATGAAATGGACAATTTTCTAGAAAAAGACAACTTGCCAAAACTAATTTAAAAAAAAATAGACAAACTGAATAGCCATGTACCTCAAAAAACCAAATAGGCCAGATGATTTTCTAGGTGAGTTCTCCCGAAATAAAAAAACCCAAACCCGCAGGAAACATTATACTTAATGGTTAAACACCATACTTATATAATATAGGGTAAAATGTTAAGCATGATTCCCTTTAAAGCCAGGAACAAAATTTTGAATTTTGTGATCAAACAAAATGAAATAGTGTTTGGAGGTTCCAGCCAGAGCACCAAGACAAGGAAAAGAAAGGAGCAAAACTATCCTTCACAGCCAGAAAACCCAAAAAAATCTGCAAACAATAAAAGATTGCTAACTAATAGTCTGATAGTACATGATACCAAGTTTTAGAGGAATATGGGAAAAGGGGAACTCTTTATAGTGCAAATGGGAGTGTAAATCATTTCAGCCACAATGGAGAGCAATTTTGGAAAATCTCTCCAAACTGAAGATGCCCGTGTCCTACAAACCAGGAATTTCACTTGCGGGTGTGCACATGAGCCCAAGGAAACACTGTTAAATATGTTTATTGGAGCCTTTTCAAAATAGCCAAAAATTGGGACCCACCTAAATGTCTTATTAAATATTTTGTGTATTCCTATAACAGAACAGCACCTGTTCTAGTGAAGGAGGGAGAGAAGGGGTCGGCAAGCTTTCCCTTTAAAAGGCCAGATAGTAAATGTTTTCGACTTTGCAGGCCATGTGGTCTCTGGCAATTACTCAGTTCTGTCTTAGGTGGAAGCAGCCTTAGACAACCCTAGTGGACATGGCTGAGTCTTAGTAAAACTTTATTTGCCAAAACAGACAGATTTGGCCTGAGGGCCTTAGTTTGCTGACTCTTGATCTAGAGCTGTGTGTGTGTCAAAAGGGAGAAATCTCACAAAGTGGCATGAGGTTGAGTGTGATCAGAACCTTTAAGAACAGCTGTAAGAACCAGGTCAGCCCTGGCCTTGGGGAAATGGTTACACCTCTCTTTTGTCAGACTAAGCCCTGTGCTGAGGTTATAGTGGGGGAGGGGCCCATCCCCCAATCCCAAAGTCTGTGCTCACTCTTTCTTTTACCTGACCAGTCAGCAGGGCTGACACTCCTCCTCTAGTCCTCTGGTTTATCTCCTCATTACTTCCTCCTCTCCCCCGTCACTCCAAAGGCCTGGCCTACTCCATGTCTCAACTTCAAGTCCAGCAGACATCTCAAACTTGACCTGCCTAAAATGAACCCGTGATCTTCCCCTAAAATGTACTGCAATTGTAATCTTCCCTGCCCCCATCCATCATCTTTGACTCCTTTCTTCCCCCCCCCCCCAACCCCCCGCATCCAATCCATGACCAAATCCTATTGGTTCCACATTCAAAATATCTCTAGAATCTGACCACTTCTTACCACTTCCACCCCTGCCCCTCAGGCCAGAGCCACCACCATCTCTTGCTGGACTACTGCTATCATCTTGCTTTGGCCTTGCCTGCTTCAGTTCGATCTACTAAACTGACGCGCGAGCCTGTGCACACAGGAGTTGGGTCATGCTATTCTTGCGCCCTACTCATTCAAAGCAGAAGTTAAAGACTGAACAGCGGCCCATGAGGCCTGGGCTGTCTGGCTCCCAGCTGCTCCCCTGGCCTCATCTATACTCACCCTCGCCCCCTAAGCTTCAGCTACACTGGTCTCCTTGCTATTCTGGGAATCCCAGACATGCTTGTGCCCCAGGGCCTTTCTGTACTTACCGTTTCCTTTGTCTGGAACATTCTTCCTCAAGATCTCTACGTGGCTCACACTCTCATTTCCAAGTTCTCCTTAGGGAGGCCATCCGTATGGTCTTATTTAATATTGCAGCCCCCTCCCTAGTCACTCTATCCTCTCTCCCAACGCCTTGCTTAATGTTTTGCCAGACCGGTTATTACCTTCTAATATGCTATATAATTTTTCTAAGCATTTTATTATGAAAACTTTCAAGCATACAGAAAGCTTGAAATGACCACCCATATACCCACCAGTTTATATTCTACACTTAACACTTGTTCCATTTGCTTGATCACTATCTGTCCATCTGTCTAGCCATCATTTTTATCTTTTTGATGCTTTTCAGACTAAGTTGCAATCCAACATCCATTTATGATAAAACTCTCAACAAAGTGGGTATAGAGGGAACGTACCTCAACATAACAAAGGCCATATATGACAAGCCCACAGCTAGCATCATACTCAAGGGTGAAAAGCTGAAAGCTTTTCCTCTAGGATCAGGAACAAGACAAGGATGCCCACTCTTGCCACTTTTATTCAACATAGTATAGGCAGTCCTAGCCAGAGCAATTAGACAAGAGAAAGAAATAAAAGGCATTCAAATTGGAAAGGAAGAAGTGAAACTGTCACTGTTTGCAGATGACATGATATTATATTTAGAAAATCCTGAAGACTTA